TGCCTCGGAGGCTGCCTGGGAATACAACATGACTCAATGGCCAGTACAAATCCACTTACCCCTCTGACACAACCCACCTGGGCCCACGATAAACCATCACTGCGCTTCCCGTACAGTATCTATGCTCACTTGAAAACTGTACACAAAACCACGGGCGGGCGTACACCCGACCATGTAGCCCTCCGCCAACGCTGTGACGACATCATGAAGAACTCAAGAAAACGTTGGTCCAACAAGGAGATCGCGGCAATGGCCCGGTGCCAATACTACTACCAACTAGTTATGGGTAAATCGCCAACCTCAAACCGAGACACAGCGAGACACTACAGCTTCAATCGCTGCTTCGAGTCTACACCAATCCGGCTCTGTGCTATGATTGTAACGAATACGTACATGTTCACATTGCTCGACTACCGCACCGATGGCTGTCTCTGCCCTGTCTGCCCCGGTAGCCACAAGTTCACTACCAGCCTTTACCTGCATCCAACAACTGATTCGACGCATCCTGGTAGGTCCGAAACTGCCGCCCATTGGCCCTGACCTCCTTCAGCAATTACAGGAGTGCCACGACTTCCACGGTATCTGGACCCTCCACAGACACCTTGGGTCTTTTCTCCAGTATGTTGAAGAACCACCGTACCCTCACCCGTCCCTGACACCTCAACAGATGTTCCCTACGCACCGGCTAATCATTCTGTTGAAGCATACTTCCAATATCGGTTCAAACCAAATCATCGCGCTTGTTGATTCCGACTATGACACTTCCGATCCAGGCCAGCCAACACATACCAAATTCATCCGTGGTCTGGTGCGGCATTGGCTTACCTCCATCCTCGCTTCTCGACCGGATTATGACGGATAACCTGGTCCTTCTCGGTACTTCGTACTCTGCACTAACCCATTCCGCGGTACTACACGGCGCAGATCCGATCCGTACCACAGAGGTGGGTACTCTACTTAGTAGGACAGCAAGCGAATATATGGAACATTCGATAGTAACAGTGTTTTGTCAACACCGGCCCGAATTGACTCAGCACTTATCTTCCATTGTCGACTCACTTGGCCCAAGCTTCAAACGGGAATTTACTGACCACTTCTTCCCATCAATTTCCTGAACCACTACAGCGACTATGAGAGCCATACCATATGTTCATACATTGTATCATACATACTTGCCATTTTTGAAATAAATAGTATTATCCCTATATCAGGGCCTCAGGCCTCTGGATTCAGGACTTCAGGCCCTCAGCTCATCGCCTCATCCCCTACGGGGTAGATACATAAAAAAGACTTCAGCAGTGTGAACAACTGAACACTGATGACTGAACTGTGAACTCAACAAGTTCACAGTTCAGTGTTCAGTCCAAAAGGTTCACAGTTCACAGTTCACAATTCACAAGTTCACAGTTCACAACTTCACACTCACTATTTTTATTTGTTTTATCTTTTTGAAAATAAAATAAAATGGTGTTCTATTTATGTATGGACTCTATATATTTATGGTTCATTGGTAATATTTGTTTTGTCTTTTAGAAGAAAAAAAAAACAAATTTCAAATACACGAGCCAGTTTTCAGTTTTCAGTTTTGTTTCAGGGGAAGCCGGGAAGGCCATGCTAAAAAAAAAGCTATGTAACATGCTTGTGGTCATTTTATAATTTTTACAAATACTAATACCAGAGGTGAACTACTCACAACAGTCGGAGCACTCCAGAGGTCTAGAGGAATTCGATATTTTTAATATTATACAGTCATTGAATATGATTTGCCAATTTGAAAACTCAATATGTAGTTAATATTTAATAATAAGGCACCTCAAGTCCTCAAATCCTCACAAGTCAGCTGACCTCACACAACAACAAGAGTGAGTCAAGTCTTCTACACACACAAGAAGAGAAGAGGCTGAAGCATCAAGCCTGATCAAGGCTCAAGCTCGATTTTATCCGCAAATATCAAATATGAAATATCATAGTCAAACCCATGTGTGATGTGGGCCTACATACGCCTGGCAGGCTGGCCGCCCTCTGGCGGGCCGCCTTGGGCCCTGGGGTTTGTTTCGCATATTTACATTTCAGTTGTCGGCTTTTTGTGGGTTTGCCTTATAGGGCCAGAGTGGGGGCATGGGGTTTATTATTTAGTGTTGGTATGAGAATACGACTGGTCTGTTCGCCTGTTCGGCGGTTCACTGTAACGACTGTGCGAGTGTTCGGCCTGCGGCGTCTGCATTCACACTCATCACAGCAGTGAGCAGGTGCACGGTTCAGAATCAGCATTCTTGAAGCCATTTGGGCCTTTGGCCATAAGTTGAAGGCCCGTGTATTTGATTTTTTATAAATAAATATTTTCCACTGGAATTTCCGAAATTCCGATGAGCGGAAATCTCAAATCCGGGGGACTGTCTCTGTCTACAGTGTCTACTTAGCCGAAGAAAAGTCAATGCATCACAAAGATGACATATCCTGAAAACCTCTCTAGACTTTTGGAGTTCTGGACAGAGTCCATTTCTTCCCCAGCGATATTTCATATGCCTCTGAAAAAGATTGAATGCGGAATGGAATTATAGTATCTGAATAGTCAATAGACAGGCAAAGTATAAATTGACCAACAAGTGATGTAGAATACTGCATTTTAAGCATAATTATAACAGCTTGATACAAGACAAATATGGTTAGTATTCCTGCCACACCAATTCATCTGATATCGTCTGATCGATCAACGAAAGCATGTGGACTTCCTAGCACTTCTCTAATAAGGGCGGCAGAATGGCGAGATAACAATCCTATCAACTCCGAAATAGTAGAGAAGCCGGTGCATACAGAAGGCTGCAAAAACGATGCAGTCATCGTGGAGCCAGTGCCAATTCAAGATAGAGCAGAATACACCGCTACCAAGCCTCGCAAGGTGCTCATATAGAGGCGCCGCAAAAGCGCAGCAGCTCCCGTCGAAACTGGTGTTCTAGCACCATCTAGGAATGCACAGTTGAACAGCAGCCCAGTTAATCGCTTAGCTGACAAGTGTTCGGGGAACGGCGCAATACGACAATTTACTTCAATTGTAGATGAAGATATCATTCAAAAAGGTACTGGTTACAATGTTTCTCAGGATGAGTGTCCTATCAGGAGGAACAGTTATACAGGTCGGATGACTGGCAACGGTACAGGTTCCATGGTATCGCGCGACTTTGAGCAGAGAAAATCAGTGGTTTCATTGAACACAGCAGTGGGAATGCATCATTCTATCAAGCAGGCGAAGCGTGCGTCCTATATAGATCGTGCTGATGAGTTAGTTACAGAATTTGCACTGGAACCAGCTAAAACATTAGACAGATTGGTGAGTTTTCTTCTAAACTCGAAACATGTCAGAGAGATAAAGCGGAAAACAGAAGAGCGCGTGAGATACAGCAAAATTATTTTATGTCGTCTGTAAGCACAGAAATCCGGGCGGGGTTAGAGCCAGGCCACGTTCCTTATGCATAGCAAATGAGTATGCAAGTACAACTAGTAGGGGTCGAAGACCAAGTTCTTTTGTGAGTCAGTCGCACCCGTCATCCCAGCAAAACTCTCTACAATTACCCTCAGCGACTGTTATAAAACCAAACTCGATCCGTAATCAGCCGTCTCCGCGTGTTTTCATATTTCCGGGCCAACCCCAAAGTTTGATCGCACAAACCTCCAATAGTGCAAAAAGCAGCGCTTGGCATGGAGGTAGGCAAAGCCCAGCTGAAACGCATGTTTTGAAGAATTCTCACAGGTATCAACACCAAGTGAGTGTGGATCAGGTCTCCCAGCGAATACCCCCCGCTGGGAATAGTACGTCATCGCTTCCGAAAGTGTTTCGAAGGATGAGCTTGCAGCCTAGCGTAAGATCGCAGGCTTTCCCTGAACAGTGTCAACCTATGCCACTCAATCTCAAATCGTCCACAGCTTCCCTATTGCCTACAAAAAACAAAGGAAGTCTAACTAACTTGTATAGGAACAACGTTTCAAATAACGACGTAAGGATGAAGCCAAGAGTTTCATTTAATAGTATCGCCATGTTCGTGTCGACTTTTGGAGCAGAACAATATGACCGTACTAAATTCAAGGAGAAGAAACGTGTGTTCAGGAAAGCAAAAAGAACCCCATGTCAATGGAAGATCTTGGAGAAGCTACTCAGGTTCAAAATAATAGAAATGCCCGTACACGACGAGAGCCGGAAATATACAGACTTGCATCTGGGCAACCTACAAAAGGAAGAATTGTTGGCCAGGAAGAATTTAATTGCGAAGATATTAGTAGAGAAAGGCTGTTTAAAAGCAGCTAGTAAGTAATAAAGAGAGCGGACTGTCTCATACTCTTGCACAATCTGTACTTAATTTACGCATTGTATGATATCGGGTAATTTTAGCTTGTAATCTTGCATACCAAGCCTGCCGCATATTACAATAGTTTGAAATCATCGTAAAGCGATTAATAGAGTTGAAGATGTATATCCACAGCTAGAAAATTAGTTATTTGCAACCAAGGTAAGGGTAACACAACTACATCCCACTATAGTCATTCGTAATGATGTACACTCTGCTGCAATATTCCGAATTCTTTTATACCTGTATTATCACTCTGATGCACGTTACTTATGATATATATATATATATATATATATATATATATATATATATATATATATATATATATATATATATATATATATATATATATATATATATATATATATTACTACACACACACACACACACACACACACACACACACACAACACACCACACACACAC